AAAAAAAAAAAAAAAAAAAAAATCTCTGTAAAAGTATCATAAAAGTGGTCCATTAGAATTGTGCACTGCATTATAAGTGTTCTGAAGCTGTTCAATAGCTATGTTGATGAACAGACCGAAATGTAAGTCATTCTTCACATCATTTGGCTACAATGTACCAGTTTTGTCCATTTTTGAGCTTTGGCCAAGGGGGAAGGTCAATGAATAACAGCTTAAATTTCCATCAGTATTAGAGTTTCAAAGTCATATTGACCGCTTTTAGGATATTTTTAGGGTATTTGTTGTTCTCATTTTGGAGACTATACAGGCCAAGTCCCCATTCACTTTCATTATATGGAAAAGAGCAGCAAGGATACATGATAACAGAATTGTCATTTTGGAGTTAATTTTATGTGCAAAAGTATGACAAAACATGATCTCTGTTACACTGTCGATGAAGCCAGTTTGATCTTTAAACCCTTGCTTGTAGCAGTGTGTATTGTTAACTTTTCAGCTGCTCTTAACTTACAACAAACCTGTTTTGAATCTGTTTGTCCTCACAGTTTGTGATGAGCACAAGGAGTTCAAAGATATGAAGCTGTTCTACCGTTTCAGGAAGGACGACGGAACCTTTCCACTGGACAGCGAAGCCAAAGTTTTTATGAGAGGCCAGCGGATATATGAGAAGTAAGCGCTTTCATACATAATTCAAATTCTGAGAGGTTATTGAATTATTAATAGTTTACTATTTGTTCTGATGTCCATTTGTTAAACATTAACATTATCATGTTTTCCCTCTGCTTCTTATTCATTATTGAGGTAGAGGTTGTTAAAGACCAAGCAAGGTAGTTTCCTTTCTACTCTTCCTCTCTAGGATGTGATTGTGTTGTTGTTCATGTGTGACACAAGTCTGTACATATTGATTTTGAGCATTTGGGAGTCTGTCCGGTAAATTAACAGTGTCCATAGAAACACAGGTTTCAAGCAGATCAAGCATGCTGTGTTCCAGCTGGTTACATTTAGAAGGAGCTGCTTAACCTGCAAGTTGTTGCTTTGCTGATGTAGCTCAGCTCAAAACCACACTCTCTATATGTTTACTGTAAAGTGAGAAAATACTTCCTTTTGGTTTACTGTTTACTGAACTTTAAAAAAAAAAAATGTTTATTTAATATTCATTTTATTTTATTAGTTTTCCAGTCTTGGTTTTGTCTTGAACTTTCCTTGTCTTGACCTAAGTATTTATTTTTTTTAAATATATTGTAATAATTTTTAACATGTTATGTACACTGAAAAAATTGGTGGTAAAACAGTTTTTATTCACAAATTGCTTTAAATTTGATAAATAGTTGCCAAAAAAATGGCAAATAACACATTGAATTAAACATGACATTTTGAGGTGGAAAAAAGGAAATAGTATTTTATTGTAACACATACTCCAATAATCTTTGTTATTTTTACAACCTCAATTTTTTTTACGCTGTACTGTTATCCACTGCTGTACATGACTCAACAGTTAAACAGTTATTTGTTTTAATTACAGTTATTTAATAGAAAGTAGCAAATAGACAAGGTGATCTAGTCATTTCTAAATTAAATTAATTTCTAGTAATTTAGTCATTCGTAATGTATGTAAGTAATAAGTAATTCCTCAAGGATAAGGAGGAATGTCGTAATATTTATTTTGTAAATATAGAAGCTGCATTTTATACAGTTTTTTTTTTTTGGTCGGATCTTAAAAAAACTTTTTGAGAATCTCAGTCCTAGGGAACATTATTCTGGTTCTGCTTTGTCATGATTGGATTGTGAAATGTTACCTAGATTTTAATAAAACTGATCAAGGGGGTCCTGACATTTTTTTTTTGTCATTATGTTTTAAAATGACATTTGTTAGACATGTAAAATAACTTCTGTTTAACCACCATTGAAGGTTTCTTTGAAAGATGATTATAATATCAGTTCATTTCAGGTCTTAATTTCACTTTACAATGGATCAAACACAAGGCAAGTGCTTTTTTGGTTGCATCATGTAGTGAAATATTAAAGTAGTGAACTGTTGAAGCAAGGTTAATCTGAGCCATGAATGGTTTACCCATCTTACAATAGCAGCTTGTGTTTGCTCTGCGATTATGACCAGGATGAGGTCGAGGTAGCAGCATGCGGTCTCTCTGTCCTGCTGCACTGTAGACGTTCCTCTGCGGGCCATCCTGCTCTTGCATAACAGGAAGATGAAGTCCAGCGGGAGACATCTGTCACACAAACCACCAGTGTGCTTTTATGTAATCACCATGGACACATTTGTGTTGCAGTCAGTATTTGTAGACTTTGCTCTTAGGGAAGCTTGTTTGGTTCGTTTCTCATTGCTGAAGAGCTCAGTCTGCTGATGGAGCATAAATATAAAATGTTTTTCAGAGTATATGGAGTACTCTGTCTAATTATGGGTCTAGAACTACATAGGAAAATGGCCAGGAATGTTTTGTGATCTGTTTCTAAGCGAACGTGATTAGCCTTTGTCAACTACCTTGGTATTTTTTATGCCTTCCTGGTGTTTTAAAAGGATTGTTTGCCAGTGTACTTAGTATATCTATACTGTGGGCTTGGGTCACTAAAGCCACATTTTAAAATGAGGCGAATGGTCCCTTAAATATCTTCAAGAACTTCCTGATTCGATGTTTCGATGCTTGAGGGAACTCCTGAAAAGCACATCCACTGTCCACTTCCACTTTAACCATCAGTTCAGATTTTAACTTGCTGTGGCAATATTTTACTTGGCTCTACCCTTCAAAATGATACATGTTTACATGTTGTCTTTCAGCAACTTACTTGAATGATGAAAAAAAATGAATAATGCATATATATTTATATATTATTTCTGTAAATTTTTATTATATATTATAAAATAATTTATTATATTATGTTTTAACATTATATATTTCATAAAACATTTTCAGGTAAATGTAATATATGATAAAGATTATTCAGTGTGTTATAACATTTTAAAAATATTTTACAGTTGTAAAAATCTCAGCAACATCTGGATAAATATTGTTCCCTTTCAGTCGGTCACTCCCGGGTCACATCGGTGACCGATGAATTGGGATCTCGCTTCGAGAGACCAATCTACTTTGAGTGTAAACTAAACGAGCCAATGCACATTGGCATGCGATGATTGCATCCAGCTGCCGCTGATGACAGCGAGAGCATAAATAGGCAGCAGGTGCAACACATTCCAGCTTTTCGCTTTGGAGCCGATCGACAACATCGTTCTGCTCCTGCAAAATCAGCTTCGTGTGTGACGAGTTCAACGCGCTCTAAGGGAGCTTTTGTGTTGGCGGACGGCGTTTCAGCGGTGGTCGTTCCTGTGTTCAGGCTGCACTACCTCCTGTTGTGCTGCAAGCGGCCATCTCCCCTGTGCGCCTCAGCACCTAGAAGAGCATTTCCCTGAAAGAGCTTATTTTCCTTAAAGAGCTACATGGTGCATCTTTGTAAAGACGACGGATCATCTTTTTAAAGATGCCGTTTCACCCGTGCGCTTCTGGATGCGGTCGTTACCTGGCGCCGGGTGATGGTCACGATCGCTGGCTGACGTGTCTGGGCATTAAGCACGCTGAGGTGGAGTTCGTGGATGAGTCATGTTCCCATTGCGGGAAGATGACCATCTCGGAGCTGCGGACCAGTCTCCGTTACAGAGGGGCGGAGTTCCGTTGCCTCTGCCTCGATCTAGCTCTTGTCCTGGCAGCAGCCAGATGAGGACTACTTCAGGCAGTAGCACGAGCGGTCTGAGGGTTACAGTGGTGGAAAACCCTCCAGGGAACCAACTCTCGGGGGACCATCGCTCCTCTTGCGCTCCGCAACCAGTCGGGCTGCCAAAAGAACGCGCTGGGCCCTTTTCAAAGAGCATACCAGTGGTATCCTTCGGCGCTCCTCCCGACGGCCGGATGTCGATCACTGCATCGGAGGGGGAGCTTTCTGGAGAGGAAGATTCAGCTGCGCTGCCACCCTCCGGGGCAGTAGCATGGCCTGAATCGGTTTTACAGCAGGCCCTACTTCATTGTACCCAAGAAAGGCGGTGGGTTACGACCGATCTTGGACCTGCGTGTCTTGAATCGGGCCCTTCACCGGCTACCGTTCAAGATGTTGACGCAGAAACGCATCTTCGGGTGCATCCATCCCCGAGATTGGTTGGCAGCGATCGACCTGAAGGACGCGTATTTTCATGTGCCGATCCTTCCACGCCACAGATGTGCATGTGCATATCAGTACAAGGTCCTGCCCTTCGGGCTGTCCCTGTCTCCCTGTGTCTTCACGAAAGTTGGGGACGGGCCCCCAACTGCACTGGCACATCAACTGCCTAGAGTTGTTAGCAGTACACCTTGCCTTGAACCGTCTCAAAAGGTGCTTACGAGGCAAGCACGTGCTGGTCCGGACGGACAACACTGCGACCGCTGCGTACATCAACCGACAAGGTGGTCTGCGGTCCCGTCGCATGTCGCAACTTGCCCGCCACCTCCTCCTTTGGAGTCGGAAGATTCTGAGGTCACTTCGTGCCATTCACGTTCCGGGTCTGCTCAACCGTGCAGCCGATGAGCTGTCACGAGCTGTGCTCCCGGGAGAATGGAGACTCTATCCCCAGACGGTCCAGCTGATTTGGAGTCGTTTCGGAGCCACTCAGGTAGACCTGTTTGCCTCTCCCTGCTTACCTCTCACTGCCAGTTGTTTTACTCTCTGATTGAGGGAACGCTTGGCACGGACGCACTGGCACACAACTGGCCGCGGGGCCTGCACAAATATGCGTTTCCCCCAGTGAGCCTTCTCACGCAGACACTCTGCAAAGTCAGGGAGGACGAGGAGCAGGTCCTGCTTGTGGCGCCTTACTGGCCCACTCGGTCCTGGTTCCCAGAACTAATGCTCCTCGTGACAGCCCCTCCCTGGCAGATTCCTCTGAGGAAGGTTCTACTGACTGTGCAACCTGTGGCACCCGCGTCCAGACCTCTGGAGACTTCATGTCTGGTCCCTGGACGGGACACAGAGGTTCTAGGGGACCTACCCCAAGAGGTAGTTGACACCATCACATGACATGCTTACGCCTTGAAGTGGAACCTGTTCGTTGAGTGGTGTTCTTCTCGCCGAGAAGACCCCGGAGATGCTCGATCAGAGTCGTGCTTTCCTTTTAGCAGCAAGGGTTGGAGCGAAGGCTGTCTCCCTCGAGCCTTAAAGTCCATGTTGCTGCAATCGCTGCTAACCATGACCTCGTGGAGCAGAAGTCCTGACCTGGTCACCAGGTTCCTTAGGGGGGCGAGAAGGTTGAATCCTCCTCGGCCTTCCTCTATATTCTCTTGGTACCTGTCTCTAGTGCTCAGAGCACTACAGCAGGGCCCATTTGAGCCCTTGCAGTCAGTCGAGCTAAAGTTTCTTTCACTGAAAACTCTGCTCCTGATTGCATTGGCCCCCATCAAGAGGGTAGGGGACCTGCACGCATTTTCGGTCGATGAATCGTGCCTAGAGTTTGGGCTGGCTGACTCCCAGGTAATCCTGAGGCCCCGGCCCGGCTATGTGCCCAAGGTTCCCCCTACTCCCTTCAGGGATCAGGTGGCGAGCCTGCAAGCGCTGCCCCGGAGGAGGCAGACCCAGCCCTAGCTTTGCTTTGTCCCGACCGCGCTTTTAAGATTGTACGTCGACTGGACACGAAGCTTCAGGAACTCAGAACAGCTCTTTGTTTGTTACGGAGGCCGGCAGAAGGGGAATGCCGTCTCCAAGCAGAGGATGGCCCACTGGATAGTGGATGCCATCACCCTGGCTTATCAGGAATAGGGTGTGCCCTGCCCGCTCAGGTTGCGAGCTCTCTCTACTAGAAGTGTTGCATCCTCCTGGGCGCTGACTCGTGGTGCCTCGCTGACAGATATTTGTAGAGCTGCAGGCTGGGTGACCCCCAACACCCTACGCTATGTTCTATAGCCTTCGTGTTGAGCCGGTATCCTCCTGTGTCACCTCAAACGAGTAGAGGCACTGAGAGGCCCCGGTTTAGTGTTGGCTTGCTAAAATTGCTCCAGAGTGTACATACTGTAGACCCTATCGAGCTCCTCCATCCCCTCAGCAGCCAGACGTGGCGGTATGTAGAGACGTAAGTGGATCCCATATGTGTAAATTCCACGGTATAGCCTTAGAGCCCGTGTTTCCCCTGCAGACTTCTGCCATTTTCCAAGAGGGTTACAATCACCTCTAAATCTTTCATATGCACCTAAACAGTTATCCATATGTGGAATGCCAGGTGGAACAGGTACGTTTTCCCAGTGTTATCCAATCTCACTGAGTGGGTAGTGCTACGACAACAGTGGCTGGCCTTCTTGTTGCGAGCCCCGGCCTACACCAAAAGGGGCTGCAGGTGGCTCGCACAGGACACTGGAAGGGGCAGCACCCATGGTGCTTTGGTAGGGATCCCAATTTGTCGGTCATCGACGTGACTTAGAGTGACTGACTGAAAGGGAACATCTTGGTTATGTATGTAACCCTCGTTCCCTGAAGGAGGGAACGGAGATGTCATGTCCCGTCGCCACGGCTGCTGTACTACCGCTGGGCGGCGGGGTTACCGGCTCGGCTCCTCAGCAAAAAAAAAACCTGGTATGCGTTGCACCTGCTGCCTATTTATGCTCGCACTGTCATCAGCAGCAGCTGGATGCAATCATCACATGCCAATGTGCATTGACTCGTTTAGTTTACACTCGAAGTAGATTGGTCTCTCGAAGCGAGATCCCAGTTCATCGGTCACCGACGTGATGTCTCCGTTCCCTCCTTCAGGGAACGAGGGTTACATACGTAACCAAGACATTGCATATTTACAGTATACTATTCAAACATTTGGGGTCAACATGATATGGTTTTAAAAACAGTAAAGTATTACTGTTTTAAAAGTATTAAATATTATTTATTTATGTGATGGAAAAGCTGAATTTTCAGCTGAATTACTCTAGTCTTCGGTGTCTCCTTCAGTGTTCCCTTATTTTTGAGCTCTGACATTGTTTCTCATGACTTGGCAAGACTGCAGCACTAAACAATATTTAGAGAGAGCAGTGTTGCATCACATTAAAATGGTGACCTGCTAACAGAAAAGCTAGATATAAAAGAATGATGATCAAAAACGGTAAGGGGCTTGAAACTAGGTCAATGTCACATTTCTTTTCTTCAGCAAAAGTCAGTCATTAATATAGGGTTGCTCAACTGCAAGCAGTTTGAAATCGCAGTTTGCCTTGGAAGGCACAAGAATAGACTTTGTATGTACATGGCATACATTTAATACGAAGGCTCATATTGCTGGCACAGCATGTTGACCGATAGTGAGTAATTTGTGCCCTTGTTTGGCCCATTGGGATGTTTGCTCAAGCTGTTTCAGCTGTATAACACTCTTTCTTGAAGATATTGACCCATGGCCTGCAATTCTAATATCTACTATGCATATGCTTCTATTATAAATGATCAGTTCTGAAATGGTGAAAGAGCCAGCAAAAGTTTTATTTTCCTCAGTTTTCTTCACGTTTTCTCTAAAGACTTGTATTTCTCAAGGCAATTTTTATTTAGCTATGATTGTGTGCTGACAACTAAATAGCATGTCTGAAAGCGTTTGGTTTTGACCCGTCAGCACCTGCCTTTGAATGGCGGAGAATGTTGCATTTCTTGAAAGTTCTGTTGCTCTTCTTTTGTTGTTGAAATTCAGCAGCATTATGAACTTTGACCTTGTTTTGATGAAATGTGAAAATCTCTTCAGAAATCATGCTGTTTTTTGGTGAATGATCTCTTAATGATATACGCAATGAGTTTGACATGTTAATAAGTACGCTGTCTCTCTCCGCAGGTTGATGAACACTGAAAACACCCTGCTGCAGACGCGTGAAGAGGAGGGAGTGACATATGAGCGGACGCTGGTGGCCTCAGAGTCTATAGACTGGCTGCTGCAGGAAGGTGAAATGCCCACCAGAGAGGAGGCTGAGCGGTTGGGACGCAGATTGCTGGAGCATGGCATCATTCAGTGTGTGTCAAGTTCGATAGGACTTGTAAAATAAAAAAAATAAAAAAAACAGTTACATGATACATTTTTGTATCATCTTTTTTTTTTTTATTTTGGCTTTTTTCTGGCATGCAACAAGAAAATAAGTAAATAAGCATTATAATTTTTTGTTTTGTTTTTTTAAAGAAACTTAAAAAATAAAATATCAAAAATTTTATATATATATTTTAAAATTATTAACTTATATAAATGGTTATATATAACTATTTATTGTTATTTGGTCATGTTTATTAAAATGTATTTTCTTTTGTGTGTGTGTGTGTGTGTGTGTGTGTGTAGGTCAATATAACAAAAAATCTGATAATTTAACTTTTTTATAATAAGGCAAGAATAGATTTTAGGTTGAAAAATGTCATGTAGTGTGACTTCCCAAAAACCTTCATGACATACTGTATATAAAACAATACATTTGACCTTTTCTTTAAATAAACATTAAGATGCACTCATCGTGTATTAAAGGTGTAATGAAAATATTATTGCTTCTTGCTTGATAGTTACACAATATGAGATTTTTATATTACATTAAATGAAACCTTTCTTGAAAAAAAAAAAGTTTGGATAACTAAAATGCACTAAATCAAACTTTCATTTGGTCATTTAAATTGAACATAACTTTAAAGGTATGTGTTACGGGGCGAACGAGACATGAGACGTGCGGGTGAGTGATAAGCGCTTACAATACTCGGCAGTGAATGGTTGTTTGAGTGAGTGTTATATAGTGAATGTGTGATTGATGACAGCTGTGTGCAATCAGTGCTGTGTGCAATCAGTGCTGTGCGCAATCAGTGCAATGGCTGATGGGATATGTAGTCCGGGATGACATGCAACAGTTTGTGTTGTGCGAGAGTCAATGTAATGAAAGGGTGACCTCTGGTGGTGATTGAACGGAAGTCCATGGACAGGATTCGTGACAGTATGGACCTACTGAACCAAAGTCATTGATTGACATTGTTTTAGATGGCATTGTTCCTGAATTTAAGTTCATGGTTTGCTGCATGAACTTAAAGAGATGATCTGTTATCATTTATGACAGATTATTAACAATGTTGATAACCAAACAGTTTCTACTCCCCATGGCCAACAACTGTTTGGATATCCACATTTTTCAAAATATCTTCTTCTGTGTTCATCAGAAGAAAAAAATTCATACAGGTTTAGAACGACATGAGGGTGAGTAAATGATGACAGAATTTTCACTTTTGGTAAACTATCCCTTTAATACTGTTTATTTGATCATTGATTTGTAGTCTAATTTGCTCATCATGACATGCATCATCCTTTAATATATATATGCATGCAAGAAAATGTGCAGTATTACTTTTATTTGTGTTATTAAATATGACAAGGGGTGATTGGTGGAGTCATGATTCAACAAGAGGAAAGACTCTTTGATGGTCAGCAACAGATGGACATACCTCTGACCAGGCAACAGCCAAACACAGCGTGACACACTAGAACACATCTGCACAAAAGGATTTACATGCATAAACAACAGCCGTATACACACACCCAATACAGACCTGTGCACACACACAAATATTGGCTACCACAGAACAGAGCTATAACCTTCAGTTTAGTCACACACACCCAACAGTCACATGCACAGCAGCACAATCAGAGCCCTGTTGAGTCTGATACAGTGTCTTTGTTTGACAGCACCTTTCCTGTCTGATTTCTGCTGACTTTGAGAAACCTGCCAAAGGCATCACAGACCGCCTCGTCTGACCTCTCCCTCTGCTCAGAATTTTTTTTTTACATAAAATTAAATTGAGACAAACTTTCAACACAATTAAGTTAAGCCTTAAAAAACAACAACAACAACAATAAAAAAAAAAACATTTAACGTACCTTAAATCTAAATAGTTTGGCCTACTAGATGCAATGGATTTTTTCCCCCAAGTAATTAAATGCTTTTAATTTACACATAATGCATATAATGTATAATATAATTACCCCCTTTTTTATTTATAAATGTTTTTAATTTCCTTTTTTTTTTTTGGCAACTGATACATATTTTCAGGTGTGCAACAATAAATAAATGCACCATTTTTAATTGCATTAATACATAACATCAGTTATTATTAAAAAAAATTCAATTTTTTATTAAATATTAACATTTTTTAAATAATTCACTGTTCACTAATTTATATAATTAGTTTACGCGAGAAAAGCACAGACCAAAACCTGCCAAATTAGCAATCAGTCCTTATTCCTAAACTCCTCAACAACATGCTTATTTCTCAGCTTAAATAAATGCACACTTGCCAAGATTCAGCAGTTTAATATTCTTGTTTCATTACTACCTCATAACTGAATCAGTGTCTCTCTCTCTATTATATTCATAGACGTGCAGATATGACCAAAACCACACCATTACTGAACAAAGGTTTTGCCCTGACTTGAATTTAGCTGACACATTTGGATACAGTCAACACAAAGCAGATCATGACAGGGCATCCTGGGAAATCTGCTGTTTTAAACCAACAAATCAGTGAAAAAATCTGGAGATGATTTTTTTTTTTTTTGCCTAGGGCGGTAGGGCAAAGGATACGGTAGAGATGAAAGGAGGAAAGAAAAGTAGGCTTTCAGCCTTTCTTGCTATTTTGCCACTTCTGGCCCCTCTCAGCCTCTAGCTGTTTGCAGAGAGAGGCCCCCTGACATGAAGTTGCGTAACTGGAAGTGTTGAGCTTGACTGTGAATTGCACTGCACTGTGTCGAGAAGCATGTGTAAATCTGTTGTCAGTGTTTCACAGCCAGTGAAAGTTGCACTGCACAGTTGTACGATGAATGATGAAGCATGACAAATTACACAAATGAACTCATTCCCCCTCTGTTAGGGTGGAGACGGCAGTGATCGCCACAGAGGGGGGAAACACCAGCTTCCTTTCAGGTTAGTCCACGATCATAAAGGAAATCTGCAGAATGCATGCACAACTGTGTTCATTACACCCAGTAGTTTGTGATATTGATTTTTAGGTTTAGCAGACACAGCTGTGGTCATTTACAGTGGCAGGTAGACAATGAACTTCTGGATGTGGTCTCATGCATTTTAATTTGCTGCTGATGCAGTGCACGGGTAGATAATGAAGATAGGACAACCAAAATCAATTTCAGCGTAATAAGGAAGTTGCTGAAAGGACAAATCTTGAGCACACATGTTGTGAAAGAGTGGAAAACATCGCATTCAGTTTGAAGTGTCATATTTGTGTACAAATATCTAATAAGCTAAAATGAGATTTACTTTTGTCCGCTGATTTAAATAATGTTTACATTTTTTTTATTTAAAATATTTAACTGATTTATTGTATGATATGTAAGCATATAAGCAAATAAATCACAGTGAATTGCATATATCAATATTTCCTGACAAAATCCCCTAAATGAAGATTATTCATAGACAAATGCATTTTTATGTTATACTTTATTCTCAAATTATTAATGTTAACAACATCAGCATTGCGTGACTGAGTATAGTGTGTGTAGATTTCAATTTCTGTACAGTCTAATCTCTAATTTTCATACCATTCGAACTCCCCATGGCCAACAACTGTTTGGATATCCACATTTTTCAAAATATCTTCTTCTGTGTTCATCAGAAGAAAAAAATTCATACAGGTTTAGAACGACATGAGGGTGAGTAAATGATGACAGAATTTTCACTTTTGGTAAACTATCCCTTTAATACTGTTTATTTGATCATTGATTTGTAGTCTAATTTGCTCATCATGACATGCATCATCCTTTAATATATATATGCATGCAAGAAAATGTGCAGTATTACTTTTATTTGTGTTATTAAATATGACAAGGGGTGATTGGTGGAGTCATGATTCAACAAGAGGAAAGACTCTTTGATGGTCAGCAACAGATGGACATACCTCTGACCAGGCAACAGCCAAACACAGCGTGACACACTAGAACACATCTGCACAAAAGGATTTACATGCATAAACAACAGCCGTATACACACACCCAATACAGACCTGTGCACACACACAAATATTGGCTACCACAGAACAGAGCTATAACCTTCAGTTTAGTCACACACACCCAACAGTCACATGCACAGCAGCACAATCAGAGCCCTGTTGGGTCTGATACAGTGTCTTTGTTCGACAGCACCTTTCCTGTCTGATTTCTGCTGACTTTGAGAAATCTGCTTATTCTGCTAAAGGCATTACAGGCCGCCTCCTCTGACCTCTCCCACTGCACCGAAAAAAACACAAATGTTACATTAAATTAAATTGAGACAAACTTTTCAACACAATTAAGTTAAGCCTTAAAAAAAGATGCAGTGGATTTCTTTTCAAGTAATTAAATGTCTATATAATTTATATATAATGCATATACCCCCTTTTAATATTTTTAATTTCCTTTTTTTTTGGCAACTGATACATTTTTTCAGGTGTGCAACAAGAAATAAATGCACAATTTTTAATTGTACTTATATTTAATAAATAACAAAGTATTATTAAACAAATTCAATTACTTTTATTAAAAAAATAAAAATTTTAAATAAGTCACTGTTCACTAATTTATAGCCTTAGTTTAAGCGAGAAAAGCACAGACCAAAACCTGCCAAATTAAGAATCAATCAATCCTATTTCTCAGCTTAAATAAATGCACACTTGCCAAGATTCAGCAGTTTAATATTCTTGTTTCATTACTACCTCATAACTGAATCAGTGTCTCTTTCTATATTATGTTCATAGGCGTGCAGATATTAAATAAAGCAAAAACCACACCATAACTGAACAAAGGTTTGTGCCCTGACTTTAATTTAGCTGACACATTTGGATACAGTCAACACAAAGCAGATCATGACAGGGCATCCTGGGAAATCTGCTGTTTTAAACCAACAAATCAGTGAAAAAATCTGGAGATGATTTTTTTTTTTTTTGCCTAGGGCGGTAGGGCAAAGGATACGGTAGAGATGAAAGGAGGAAAGAAAAGTAGGCTTTCAGCCT